TAATCTTGACGGATGAGAAACTCTTTAATTTGGTGGAATAAGTTCTTTTGGGAAATTCTCACCACGAATTACTTTTTTATGAGCCTCACAAGGCTCGTCGCACACCATGCACTCGTCGGCGAAATAAACCGATCGCCAAAATGACGCACGTCGAGATTTGAATTCTCAGACAAAATCACTTCGCGCCTGCCTTTGCTGCGCATTCAATGCTGACTTGACGTCAGCTAAAACCTNCCTCATTTTTGCAGAAGGGAGTATGAATGGATAGACGACAACGATTTTCTGCAATGTTTTATCAGAGTAATATGAATCAGGTCGTACTCCTGTTTGGATGTACTCGGTTTACGGCCTCCACAAGCTGTTCTGTTTGTTGTTTTCCCGTGGATTATCCTGTAAATTGTGCTTTTGGTAACGTTAAAGCATTGGGCAATATGTGACATCGAAAATTCCAGCTTGTGTGCTCGTGCTATTCCGTTTCTGTCTTCTTCACTGAGATAACGGGAACGTTTGGTTTTGAGCGCTGCTTGCTTCATTATAGTGACAACAATACAAACATTCAAAGCTGTGTAAAAAATATCTTGATTTCAAGGTTGACTTTGATTGAAGTGGTATTTCTCGAATTCAGTGAGTTAGATGTCAAACATGCATTATTATTATGAAACCTTATTTAATGCAATATCTCCGGGTTGTGAAAGAATTTCATTTAGTTATCCAATAGAGTTGCTATAATGGATTATATATTAGACAAAATATTGTCCCATACCAAATAACCGAGATGGCCAGGGTTTATGGAAATAATTTGGGATAATTCTTGAGTCATTCCTATTAGAAAATATTGCATTGTCATACTTGACAAAGTTTACGGTTTTCATGTTGAGATCGTTTAATCTTGGCACCCAAGGTCAGGCACTACGTAGATCGAGGTATACGAGAGAAATTATTGTCCATACCTAAAGCAATAATACAAGTGATAAATATAATGAAACTCCATTTGATCATAAAGAAAATATTTTGGTGCATCACAATCGGCCACTAATATATATATATATTGCCTAAAATAAATTGAAGTAATTTATTTCAAGGCAGATTGCATATCTGAGGATTCTATCGAGTGATTCGACCGAAGAAGGTGAAATTCCATTTCAAACGACTAACCATTGGTCGGGTAAAAGCTTTTTGTGGCCTGAACTGGTATGAAAACCTGTCAATCAACTTCAAGAAAACCCTTCAATTTTTAAGTGTGCTAAAGATGTTCGCCTAATGCGGAAAATTTCTGGATGGGGTAATCCTGATTATTTTAGTGAAAAATCCTCATTGAACTTCTTAAGTAAAAGCAAGCTCTTATTTGAAAGCTGAACCAAAAGAAAGTGCTGGTAGAACTGATAGATTTAATGCAGCGTTCATTATGGCCATTTACAATTCCTGTATGAAAGCATACCTCAGCTAAAGAACCTGAAAAATGGCACTATTTCTTAAACTAAAATTGTATTCTGTTAGGTTCCCAATTCTACAGGTTTTTCATTCGTAAATTTCGTAACCATATGTAGAATATGTACCGGCAACAAATTTGACAAGTCCCACACCATGATCGAGTGGTCAAGTAATTTATATAGTAGTCTGGAGGTCCTGAATTCGACCCCTGCCACCGCCGCTTATCGTTCTAATTTTCGTATTTCTCCAGACAGCCTTTGCATATTCGATTTTGCATGTGTATGAACAATGTACGGAAACGGAAGTGAAAAACGTAATAATATTATTATTATTATTATAAAATTATTACAAAAGGGGGTAATAGCGGGTACACAAAATATTTCAAAAAGTGTACGGTGAAACACAAAACAATTGTCGATCCATTAATTTGTTATTTTTCATTTTAACAGTTCCGTCTTCTTTTCCTATGTTCTGCATCCCAGCCTCCCCTCCCGTTACTGTTATAGTTATTATTATTTTTGCGTTGGCACCCTGCTTCTCCGCAAGCCGGTTTTATATATATAGAAGGTAAAAAAGATAGAGATATGAAAAATTAATAACTACAGAACTGAAGAAAGGGTACCATATCGTGTGCTTGTTAGGATTAAATACTTAACTGATCATTTAGTTCATGGGTATTCTTCAGTATCCTGCGGTCCGCCTGCACAGCACCGATGTTTTGTGGTCAAACTTCAACGGGTTACGCGTGAGAATGTCGATTGATTATGTCACACATTTCAGTTTTCGGTTAAGTTGTAAATAGACCTTTTGTCCTCTTCGAAGGATAGAAACGTCTAGAAAATGTTTTAATATATTCTTCGGAAATGCTGAAAGTGAATTTAGTGTATCAAACATTGTTTTATAAATATAATCCACCGCTGTTTGATATGCACCGTTTGAATAATAAATAGTTGAGGGAACATTCGGATAGTGCATCAGGACAAATGTTCGATCCGGTAAACACAGAAAATCGGAAATCGATCAGATGTCCCAGAATAAGGAGAAACAGCGTTGCAATGTGACTTTGAGGGAGTTATAAAAAGCATTAGCTAGGTTCAACTGGGACCAAACGTGGGGGCAAAAGGTTGAACGTAATCATACTGGAAACGTTTTCAGTGGAATTTTACTTTATGAAAGCTAGTTACCAATTTTTTAGATGAAAACCAGTTGCCGTGCAAAACTGTTTGTCTGCAAAAATGAAGGATACCAAACCATCATTATCTCATGTAGCCTATGATTGTGGAATGAACCTGAAGGCTAGATGTTAAAATTCGAATGGAATGCAAACTGTACAGAATAATTTCGAATCCGTCAATGGTGAAACGGGGTTTGATGATACAGGTAAAATTGTTTACACTTGACCGGCCACGATCACAATTCGCAAACGTGTCACTTGAACAATATTCAATGGAGAACCAGCTTTTTTCACTTATCACGTGTTTTACTGCTTACGGTACTGAACAGACATTCACTGTTATCATGCCAATATAGTAAACCTACAGTGGTTACCGAGGTGCTGACGTAATTCACCAGTAAACAATAGTCCAGTGACGCTAAGATGCTATAGGAAAAATCCGAAGTTATGTCACTGACTTAGTCCTCCACAATAGCTCATATTATCAAACTGATGAAGAATCTATGAAAAAGAGTATTATTGAAAATCAGAATACGTCAAACCGACGTAACCTTGTTCAAATAGATCGTCACGTAGCGAGCATTTACGAGAAACTATTCAGCCACTTTTAGCATTTGTTGAATCAGAGGGGTATGCATGATAAATTTTATTTTAATTTGTTTTTTTCTGATCAGCACCTCTGTCATTGTTATGGAACAACCTTAATCCATGAATAGACCTGTGATTCTCTTATTGAAATTGGGCCAGCGCTTTCACAATATCTACTCCGGGCTTGTTGACAAACCGGTGCTGGATACGTAAATAATCCCACACTCGTTCTTCTGTCGTGCCTGCATGGTCCACCGATTTCATTTTGAATTTAAGTCGAATGTCCATGGGCTGGTGAGATGACTAACCTTCTCTGGGTGAAAAAAATAACTTTTGATAGTGTCGTGGATACTCAAATTAGTGGAATTTGACCCCTCTGTTCCCACATACAACACGGTGTGCTAAAACAAGCATTCGGACGTGTTGTTGAACGTAGAGAAAGTCAACCGTGTCTCTCTTTGACACCTGGTCCTGTTCAGTTGCAGATGGACTTTATCCGACGTCTAGTTTTTGCATCAAGCTTCACAAAAGCAAGTATTGCGTCTCGGTTCAAAAGATCAAACAGCACAGGGGAACGAAATATAACAATCAACAGCACTGGGTTTTTAAAGATGCTTCATTGATCGATTGGGTCTGTGCAACGCTTTGAGAGAATAACACGCGTAGATGCATCCGGAATTGGAAATAGGTCACAACAGTTGTGAGAGGTGCCTGTCCCAGTTACTTTGCAACGGAATCGAGGTGTTAGGAAAACGATCAGTTACGATTATTGCCGCTCTTTTAGTTGTAACTGGTAGGATCTACGCAAAAAGACGGTTTTAAGCTGTTGGTTCGTTGGTGTAAAGCGATCAGTTATCTCCCGAGCACGGACCGGTTGAATTGTACGGAATTATCAATTGTATCATTTTTCACTTTTGTTATTTCACACATGTCTGAAGTGAGAATGTATGCGAAATAAATCATGGTACAATAATCCGTCGTACATTCATGCAAAATTCCTAATTTCAAATCCCGGGCTGCACCCTGAACATGCATTGATGACGAGCTCTAATACGAGGGAAACCGGAGTCCATTCCTTTCGATTGACCGGAAGAACTCAGCATTCTGCATGGAGGTGAAGTCTGAACGATGGTCAGTTCAAATTCATTATAATTGCTTCCATTGAAAATAACCACCAGAAGCGCTGCACGTTTTGCAAGTGGAAATTTCTGGGCATCAAATCCAGCTCGTCGGATAAAATTTCAAGTATCTCGCCTGCATTGCACATTGTGTGAGTGTGGTGATCCAGGCCTACTCGATGGTGCCTACCCTGGAGCGACGCAAAGCAGTTTCAGGACATTGGCGACCAATCAAGTTCGAATGCTGACGTCAATGAAACGTGCATAGCTTCTGAATACACGTCATTCGTGGATGGTGCCAGCCAATCCTAGACAGTGAAGACAGAAGCAAGATTATGCAAGCAGTGCTGCAATCCAATTGGTGGATGCTCAGGTAGCCAATAATCTCCCTTTGTATATATTATTTAATCACCTTCATTTCTTCCAATAAACGAACTACTGCTTTCTATCATTTCCGTGGCCTTTTCCTCGCGTCTCGTTCTCGTGAGACATTGTGAACTCGTACGATTGTGGTCCAGTGCTTCTGAGGTCCGGTCCGTGATAGCTGATTATCGATTCGGGTCCTGTGATTCATATTGCGTGGTTGGCGTTCCGAAATCCGTGCGTATTACTACAACGACTACAATCATTACAAATTGGCATCACGTGATGGAGCTCCCAACGATTGAGCAACTAAACCTGCAAGCAAGTCCATTCGAGATCGAGGAACGCATCGAACGGTTCGAGCTGTGGTGCAGCATCCGCAAAGATGGTACACAGAATCAGTCAGCCCTATTTCTTACTGCTGGCGGCCTTGACCTCTACTGCATGTTGAGGAACTCGGCGTTCCCTGAGGCTTCAGCTAAACTACCAAACGAGTCATCCGTGGACTCGATGACGTGTTAGCGTACCAGGCTGACGTCATTGTATTTGGCACAACGAAGGCCGAGCATGACGATAGACTTCTCAAACTACTGGAGCGGTTCGCCCAAAAGAACGTGTCAATTCGCGCCTCCAAATGCATGTTCAGCTCACCAGAATTGGAATTCTTTGGTTT